CTGAATTTTGAGCTTTTGCATACTTATAGAAGAAGCCTTTCGTCAAAGGCTTACGCATTTTCAGTTAATTCCGGTTACTCGATAATTTTCGAGAAACTTTGAAACTTTCAGCTAGTCAGAAATGTAGCCCAAAAAGAGCGCGTCCGCACTTAAAAAATCGCAGCGTCTGAACTGGTCGCGACTGAATTTTGAGCTTTCGCATACTTATAGAAGAAGCCTTTCGTCAAAGACTTACGAATTTTCAGTTGATTCCGATCACTCGATGATTTTCGAGAAACTTTGAAACTTTCAGCTAGTCAGAAATGTAGCCCAGAAAAAAGCGCGTTCTCACTTAAAAAATCGCAGCGTCTGATCTGGTCGCCACTGAATTTTGAGCTTTAGCATACTTATAGAAGAAGCCTTTCGTCAAAGGCTTACGAATTTTCAATTAATGACGGTCACTCGATGAGTTTGGAGATACTTTCAGCAAGTCAGAAATGCAGCCAAACAGAGCGCGTCCGGACTTAAAAAATCGCAGCGTCTGAACTGGTGGCCACTGAATTTTGAGCTTTCGCATACTTATAGAAGAATCTTTTCGTCAAACGCTGACGAATTTTCAGTTCACTCCGATCATTTATTGATTTTCTATAAGCTTGATAACTTTTAGCAAATCAGAAATGAAGCCGAAAAAATGTACGCTTGTACTTAAAAAATCGAAGCTTCCGAACTGGGTCGACGGAATTTTGAGCCTTTGCAAACTTATACAAAAGGCCTTTATTCATAAGTTTGCGAAATTTCAGTTGAATCCGACTGCTCTTTCATTTTTTAGAAACTTTGAAGTTTTCAGAAACCATTGAGAAAGAGCCAGACGGGTTCTTAAAAACGCCATCAAAATCGACTCAAAACTTAGTATTTACACCCAAGCGAACCCAGATTATCCCTAACAGCCCAAGATATAGGATGTAGAAAAAGGGCTTAAATTAGCACATGGTGTTGGGGCTTTTGCAAAAAACAATCAAACTAAGATAATTGTATAGAATTTGCTGGGAAAACTGAGGAAACTTTCAGAAAAATGCTGCAAATAAAGCCAGCACCAAACACAGCTTGAAACAGTTTAGGTCTACTTTCCTCCAAAACTCACGAGAAAAGTGCAAAAAAGCCATCGCTTGGGGTTAAACAGTTGGAAACAATCATGTTTAATTACACGTCGCGACTTTGCTTTGGTGTTAGTCAACCAACCTGTTATGGGGGCTGCTAAACATCAGGCTGGGAACCGCAAGTTGGGTACTAAACATGATTTTAAGAGTGGATAAGTAGACGAAAGCAATGCGCAGAGAAACTCACCTGAAACTCCCGCTCCGACGAATCTGATGCCGTTTTCCTGCAAGGATTTGGTGCGTCTTTGCGTGTCTTGATACTCAGAGTTGCCGCCATCTATAATGATGTCCCCCTGAGGGTTTCAACCGGGTTTAGTTAGAAATTGGCGTTAAACTGGATAACATACCTGATCAAGGTGCGGCAGTAGTTGAGTGATGAAATTATCAACGGCCGATCCGGCTTTTACCAGCATCATGATGCGTCGTGGCGACTTTAGTTTAGATACCAATTCGGGGATGGTCTCAGCGCCTAGGATGCTTTTACCTGGAACAGTTTGCTTCAATGACCCACTCGAAATATAAACGTGCAAAATAAGTGATAAGTCGCACCTTTGGCTTCGTTTGCCAAGAAGTTGCGGAGTTTTTCCACAGTCCTGTTGAATGCGACCACGGTAATTCCATTGTCGGCCATGTTCAGGATCAAGTTTTGGCCCATCACGGCCAGACCGATCAGGCCGATGTCTCCTTTTCTGGAAAACAGAGCAAAATATGTATAAAACTAGATTAATTGTGGAACAAATGCGGTCTCAATTGTACACGATGGTCAATTGACAATCCATAGGTTTCAAGTCAGGGTGCATGAAGGGCTGAAAAATTGAGTTTTTATAGGGAGTAATTACTTGAGTTATTAGGAGAAATTTTAGGAGATTTAATGAGATTTAGGATGGCTTTCACTAAGGAACTTCTTGTTGTTGTTCCTTCTTCAGTTATAGGTTCCTCAGGCCGGTTTCTTTCGGTTTAATTGCGCTTCGGTCCGAATGGGTTCTTTGAAAGTTGTCATGCATTTTGTCTTATTTGAGGATATTTGCGAATTTCGTTGAATTCGTGCACTAATCTTTGCAGGTCATTCTCGTTTTCTGCTATTAATGCGGCATCATCCGCGTAGCAGAGTACCTTACTTTATCTAAAGTGGATAGTCTACGAATCGCTCTATCGAAATGGTTCTTATGACTTATCAAGTATTTTTTACCGTAGATATGGAAATTTTAAACCTTGACGTTTTTGTTGAAGCATTCAAAAATTTGCTTCGATTTAATTCGGAAAATTGGGCTTTGCAAATAAATGTTCTTTTAAAACAGACGCCGCTCTTTCTGCTTGAAACTCACTCGCGCCTCCATCTGTTCTAGCGCTCAAGCAACTGGTTGCTATCACTGTGCTCTACTCGCAGCCCGTTCTAAGTTTCAAAAAACTGTTTATTGAGCCTTATGAGTGGCTTTAACGAACAGTTTTTGGTAGCAACGAAGAAAATGTGCTGTTTTGGACTAGAAAATCTCCACGGCTCTCTTTGAATAGGTTTTGGAGCTGTTCTTGCACATTTTCCTATGAGGTGATTCTGAAGAGTGAATCTTTCGGGTATTTGCGTTTTTCTAGCGCTGAAGCCAGTCCATCTAATTGAGTAAATCTGATGCCTCTATTAGCGCGGAATTTCGAGTAACTGGTTATTTCCACTACGTTTATTCACGTTTTCGGTAGCAWTTTCCATAAAAACCTCGAAATTGGTCCTGAAATGWGGGGTTTTCGAAAAATTMTGTTTAATGYAAGARAATACGCTYTWTCTGGTTAATTAGTCCTCAATCTGCTTGGGTTTTAGAGCAATTGATTGGCTTCAATYCCTTCTCATGTTTCAAGTGCAACATAATCAAAAATACTATCCGAACTGCTCCGTTTTTTTAGCTTCTGTCTCTTTAGATATTAGAAGCTGGTTTGTTTCATTTTTTTTGCAAAAGTCTCAACACTGTGTTCATTTAAGACATTTTTCTGTATCTTAAATCTTTTRTKTWWRTTMGCSAGGCTMWTT